GCTCAGCATCCTAACAACAAGAAATTGCTGGAAAGCTGGAAAAAGGCAGGGGCACTCTATGCGACGCCTCAGGGTTCAAACGATGATTGGTACTCACTTAATATTTTTTATTTGATGTTGCAATAGTTTTCTACTTCTTTTCTTTCCTTTTTTTTGTCAAGTTCTTGTTTTTATTACTGATTAGTAAGTAATGCATTATTTTTATCGATTTTCACTTACACAATTACACCTGGATGATTCATATATATATGCTGCGGATTACATGTTCAGTAAATCAAGCTTTTGAGGCTCCTTGAATGTAGAGCATACGTCGTCATTCAAAGTTATTAAGTGCTTGGAAAGTTGGAATCAAGATGAGTTTTTTTTGCCAGTTTCATTTGACTTCTTTGGTAAGACACTTCTGTTGAATAGAAAATTACAACTATAACAGAGTTGTTTATTTCGGTCTTGTTGAATGACAATTGACTTAAGCCACTGTCTGTCAGTCTGAGGAACAACGTGAGGATTTGAGAGAACATAAATTTGAATCCATGTACTCTGATAGGCGTAATAGACAACTTTGTTTCATTATATCATTGTATTTTGGATAAACTCCACAGACCAAGCTTCCTTTCATCAAGTGTTCTAATATAAAAATAATCTAATATACAGTTTTAACTTCTTTTACAGCTTCCTTTCCTGTCTTATATCATTTTTTTTTTTTATCATCTTAGCTTTTGGAATTACAGTTTACATGCATCTCCGAATACTCATCGTGTTACTAAGACATTCCACTTTAGTTATGGCTTCTCATTACCCTTTCTGTCCCTTTCATTCCCTCTCTCGTTAATAGGTATTGGTTGTATGCTGCTGTGAATTCAAAGTGCTTGCTGGTTACAAATGATGAGATGAGGGATCACTTGTTCAATCTTTTAGGCAATAACTTCTTTCCTAGATGGAAAGAAAAGCATCAGGTAGTTTCTTTCATTCATGGCTATTACACTATTGTTTATCCTAAAAATTCAAAGCAAAAGCCATTAGTTTAACCATTGTTGCGTAGTAATAGGTAATTGGTCACTGACTGGAAAGGAATGAAAGGCATTTACATTCTAAATCTTGCATGCAGGGGAAACAATAAAGTAGCCTGTTGTGTATTTACATGTAAATATTCTCGAATCTACAATTTTGAATGAAAACAAATCAAAATTATGGACCATCTCACAATTTTTTTTTTTTTTTTTTTCGTTCTTGTAATTCAATGAATTGCAGGTCCGGATAAAACCTTCTCTTAAAGGGCTACTAACCTTGCGCATGCCGCCGCCTTATTCACTTGTCATCCAGGTAGGATAATCCCCCAATCATCTTTACGCATTATATTCATATCTGACGAATTGTCACTCTTGTATTCACTGCAAAAACGATTCCCAGGAATCTGAACAAGGTAGTTGGCATATACCGACTGTTACTGGAGACGATCTTGAGACCCCAAGACAATGGATTTGCGCTACAAGGATCAGACAACAGGTGTAGTCCCCATCATTACATTTAAGATGAGAGTTGAACATACTGCTTGAAAAAATGCCTCCCGTATCGTAGTTCAAATGACATCTTCAAGTTGTAAAGTTTGGGTATTCTTTCTGCCTTCAACCATGGCCTTGTGTAAGCCTCGATGGAAATTAAGAATCTTGGTCATAAATGCAATGCTTAAATTACAACTGAATGACCCATTCAAATGTGTAAACCTTTGGCAAGGGTCCTTTTCTGATTATCATTTACTTTATACATTGTCCTTTTGTTTTACAGCATGTGTACGGTTGTTCAATTTCAGTAAATTACCCCGTGGGACGAAGAGCGATGGTACCTTTATCAATCCTATGTTTGGATATAAAAATTTTTGGTTTTGTTTTTATTATTTGGTTTGTTTTTATTAATTTTAGAAAAGGTAGTGTGGTTAGTTGTTAGTGTGTATGTATGTTAAAATAATATTTAAAATAAAATGATTAGAGTTAATTCGATCTAAAAGTAGGAGAAACAAGTTGTGAAATGATGGTTAGTTAACATTATGTGAGTTGATGAATGGTAAATAAGTTAATATGGTGTGTAAGTATAATTAATTGATATTATTTGATTATATTGATAATATTGATTACAGTGGGGATGAGATAAAGTTGAAAAATAATAAAAAGAATATTCTGAAAATATTTTTTATGTTTGAAAACAAGTTTTTCGGTTGGAGATGGTATAACGGATTTTTTTTACGTGAAAATAAAAAAAATAAAGTTCTGGAACCAAAAGCACGAAAACCAGTAGGAGTGGATAAACATAAAAACCACGTATTTAGAGAATACGTTTACGTCTTTCTTTATAAAAATATTTGAAAAATTATTCACTAAATACGTTTTACAATTGAATTTTTACAAAAAACGTATTTAGTAAATACGTGTTTTTTATGTTGATGCACTCCCCTTTTTTTTTTCTTTTTTTTTTCACTTGATTTTTTATTATTTTTTATATATAAATTCCCCTGGTATAAGGCTTGCTAATTAGCAGGTTGGGCCATAACATCTAGGCAAAGGATTAGATAGGCTCTACGCGCGGAATGAAAGTGGCTATACTTTATAATTTATACTATTTACTATGGTTAAATACAAAGATTTTTAAAAAATATTATATACTTCTTCTTATTATATCAATTTTACATTACAATTAATTTTTTAATTTTATAATTGTTATACATTTCACACACAAAAATAAAAATTTATATTTATTATATTTTGACAATAAAAAAATGGAATATATATAAAAAAATATACTGGCGTTTAGGCGGTGATTGGACCGCCTAGGTCGCTGCGTAACTAGTCTAGGCGAGACGAACTTCACAACCGCACGGATCGCCTAGATGTAGCTTAGCCTGCCTAGGCGGCGCCTAACAGCACGAACACTTAGAAGGGCCATCTAGAGAAAATTGGGACGACTCGATCGGTACTGCTAGCGTTTAGCCTGACTTTTCTCGTAGTAGTTACCATCAAATGATTGCGATTTGTGAGTACAACGTTAGGGCATATCTAATAGGTGGTTTTCATGAGATTTAAAATTTTGATGCTCACAACTTTTCTATTAGAAAGGACAACATTGGGGTTTGAAAACCCAATACCGGTTTACAATGTTACTGAGTCCTCTCATAAACTTTTACTTTATTAAAAAAAAAGTTGTTCAATGTAACACAAACACGTGTTGGTGCAATGTCCCACCAACTATTGTTTTTTCTTTTTTATTTATGTTTATGTATTTACGTATTCTGATTTCTTTTTTTAATTTTTAATATTTTTAGTTTTCTTTTATTACTTTGTGTTTGACATTTCATTTTTCAATTTCTTGGTTTAGTTTTTTATATTAACATTTAATATATATGCATGATTTTAATATATAGTTTTAGTTTTTTATATTTTTCCTTAATTTAAAAATAAAATTTGAATAAAAAGTATGTGTTGTCACACATCAATAAATAAAAGCTTGTGTTATTTTGGAATGTGTGCCTAAATAATTTTAATTATACTAATAGTTTTAGTTTTTTATTCATTTAAAAAATAATTGTAGTGAAAAAAATGTGTTGTCACACAACAAAATTAAAGCTGACATCTATCTACTATATCTTATCTTCCAGCTCTTTGATTGCATTTCTCACATGCATTTTCAGAAGTGTTGTCAGGCATTATTTTTCTTAATATTTTTTTTGAATTGTGTGCTTATCTTATCTTTAATTTTAGTTTAAATTCAGGCATCATCATAAAGAAATTCACATCCTGAAAGAGCTTCATTCTAGAACATAATTTAGTTTAACAACCCATGAAATGGATAGAAACCCAAATCTATCGAATTTCAATATTCCTAACTCTTCTGAAGATGATAGTCCATCTTCTGTTAATTCCCGTTATAATCGAAGCATCAATCCTACACTCGGGCAATTTCCTAGAATACAATTCCAACCTCAATTTCAAAATTTTCCATACCCCCAGATTCATTCTTTTCCTGCACTCCAAACATCTAAACATCAATCTCAGCATATGCCATACCACAAGATGCTTCCTTTTTCTATACCCCAAACTTCCGAACAACAATCTCAATATATGTGGTTAATGTTATCCCAATATGGAATGACAAATTCATTTGGCATGCCTTTTCAACAGGGTAGTTTCATACCAACAGGTGTAAGTATAGGATTGCAAGATGGCCTAAGAACTAGTACTGGGTCAGAGGTTGAAGGACTTGATAATATTTGTCTTAATAAAGACAATGAACCAAGTAAAGAAGTTGCGCCAAAAAGACGTGTTAAATTGTCTGCAATATCGTGGACACAAGACGAGGATGTGTTGCTTTGTTGAGTTTTTTGCACTATCTCTACCGATCCGATTGTTGGTGCTCAACAGATTTCAGAGGGCTTTTGGAGGCGAATTACTCAATACTACAATGGAAATGCTGAGGGTCGAAACTTTGTTCAGAGAACTATGGAGTCTACAAAATCTCACTTTTATATTTTTCATGCAGATTGCCTAAAATTCAATGCATCAATAAATAGGTTTCAAGCTGATCAAAGGAGTGGTGATAATGATGGGATCGTGTTGCAAAATGCCTTAAAGGAGTGGAATAGTGGCAATAATAAAAAAGGAGCCTTCAAATGGCTCCATTGTTGGGAGATTCTTAAAAATTGTCCTAAATTTCAAGGGTCACCTGGGGCAAGCCGAGGAGGAAAGAAGTCTAGAACATCTGAAGCATGAGATCACTTATGGATCGGGCCAAGATATGGAGCACGGTGGTGGTGATGAGGAACGATATGTGCGTCATCCAATTGGCCAGAAGGCAACAAAGGCTGGGAAGAAAAAGGGAAAATGTGGAATATGGAGCAGTAGTAGTGATAAAAAAGCTGAACGTATGTTGGATGCATTTGGACATATTATGGAGATACACAGGGGCGTAGCCAGGATTAAAAACCGTCCTGGGCTAGTTTAATTAATGACGAGCATTGAGAAAACACATTTTTTTCTTCAAGTTATTTCAATTCATTTTTATTAAATATAAGAATTATTCATTAATATTGTATTTTTTTATCTACAAGGAAGAACACCATTTTTTTTTCCTAATTATCTTAATAAAAAATATTAATTAATATTAAATATTTGTTTTTTTTTTTGTTAATCTTACAAAAATAAACAAGTATTACTTTAAGTATCCAAAATAATATATATATATATATATATTTTTTCTCGAATAGTGTTTTGAAAGGTTAAGTGCATTGTTACCCTTATTTAAAGTGTATAGTTATCAACAAAAGATGAGAATTAAACTTAAATTTTAACTTTCAATAGTATTATTTTTGTTTTTATAAACTAGGTGAAACAATAACATTCATGTTTTCATAACTGAGTGAGAAAACTAAAAACATCTCTCCATGATTTAGATAATATATATTGTTTAATCATTTATATATGTAATATATTTTATCCAATAATTTTACATCGAAACGACCTTCATAACAATAAAATAATTTTAAAATTATTTATTTCATATTCATTTACACTATCAAAAATCACTATTTGCTATAGGAAGAGAATTAAAAAAGAAAAAATTAGTGCTACCAATTGCTTTTTAGGCAGTTTTAGAAAATAAAGAAATAAAATAAATATGCTACCAATTGCTTTTAAACATGGAATTTCAACCAAATATTCACATCACCAAGACTCCAAGTTCATTTTCACTTTCTTGTCATTAATAAAAATTAATTTAAAATTGTATGAATGCTAATGTAAAATTTTAATTTAGATGGGGCTTAGTAAAGTTTCATAACACATACATTAGTTTTTTTTTATTTTTTATTTTTTTTATTTTTTTTTATTTTTTTTATTTAACCCTGGGCTATAGCCCTAGTGAGTTCGTATGTAGCTACGCCCATGGAGATACATGAAAAACAACAGAAAGAGCTTAAAAAATTAGTTCGTATGGAGTCATGGAAGACATACAAAGAATTGCTTAAAGAAGACATTTCAACTATTACTGAAGAAGAATTAGAAGCTCATTACGGACTCCTTGCTGAACTAAAACAAGATTTGGGTCTTAATTGAACTTTCAGGGATTGTCTAATGAAGATTGTGTATTGTATTTTATTTAATGTATTTTTGGGGTGTGTTAAATTTAATGTGTACTCTATATAATTTATGTATTTTCTGATTTGGTTAATTTTATTGTTTACCATAATGTTTTGTTTTTTGTTTTGTTTTTTGTTTTATTTTATTTTTTTTTTATTTTTTTATTTTTTTGGTCATGTTCTACCTATACCAAATAATGGATCACCAACTACTTTAATTATTGGATCAAATATATGCCAACCTAACATAAAGTAACTAAAAGAAAGCACGTGCACGTGATACCCACCTAACTTCTCAAAAATGATACTTTATTGCCTTATCTTGCAATTATAAATACTTAAATAGTGCCTTCAAATGTCTTCACATACACCATATCATCTTTCATCAGTTTTATCCTCTCTCTCTCTCATCTTATTTTGTTCTTTAGTCCAATATCACTTTTAGTTAGCCTAATTTCTTCTTTCAACATCTCTAGACATACTAAAGAAAGAGTAGCATATCGTGCTTCTTAAAAAATATTCTTGATGAATCTCTGGCGAAAACTGAATTTTCCTTGATGGAAGCTGCAATTAATCAGTTCGAAGAAGATGAACATGCTGAAAATTTAGAAAGGCGAGAAAGACGAGTCGTGCATCATGGTCGTGATGCCGGACATGCTCTACTAATAAAAGATTATTTTTCGACTGAGCTCACTTATCATGAGGGATTATTTAGACGTAGATTTTGAATGTCTATACGTTTATTTTCTCGTATTGTCGATTATGTTGAAAACTATTCTGATTATTTCAAGGCAAAAACAGACGCTTCGGGTAGACAAGGCTTTACTCCAATTCAGAAATGTACTGCAGCTATACGCCAACTAGCATATGGAGCACCTGCTGATCAATGCGATGAATACTTATGTATGTATGAGCAAACAGCAAATAGAAGTCTTATGGAGTTTTGTCCAGCTGTGCATCAGGTATTTGCATCTCAATACTTAGGTTCACCTAATACTGCTAATATCCAACGACTACTTTCCTTGCATAAGGACAAACATGGTTTTCTTGGAATGTTATGGAACCTTTATTGTATGCATTGGGAGTGGAAAAATTGTCCAGTTGGTTGGCAGGGCTCATACACCCGAGGGGATCATGGAGTACCCACTATAATGCTTGAAGCAGTTGTCTCACAATACTTGTGGATCTGGCATGCCTTTTTCAGACTCGTTGGGTCACGAAACGATATTAATGTATTGCACGAGTCCCCATTATTCAACGACGTCTTACACGGGGTAGCACTTGAGGTAAATTTTACACTAAATGGAACCTAATATAATAAAGGATATTATTTAAGAGATGGTATCTATCCGGAATGGGCAACGTTTGTCAAGAGCTTCCAGTGCCCAGAGGATTCAAAAAGAAAAAAGTTCAAGCAACGACGAGAGGCTGCAAGAAAAGATGTTGAGCATGCTTTTGGGCTGCTCCAGTCAAGAGGGGCAATTGTACGGGGCCCGACTCGTCTTTGGTATACATAAGATCTTAATGAAATAATTGTTATCATGTATTATTTTACATAATATGTAATTGAGGATGAGGGTGATGAGGCAACAAAATGGTTGAATGATGATGCTGAGCCGCCAGTTCAAGCACGACAAGGTCATCCAGGAAATTTTCGCCGGTACTTACAAATAAGAGCCGAGATGCAAGATCGACAAGTCCATCATCAATTGAGGCATGACCTAGTTGAGAATATTTGGAATGAACCTAATTAACAAGAGTAATAATTTAGTTAGTCTATGATTTATTTAATTGTAACTTCTACGTACAATAATATGTATTGATATAGGATATTATATACACAAGGCTAAACCGGCCCAATTAAACCGGTCAAGAGGGTTGAACAAATGAAGATGCCGAGCCAAACGGTGGGAAGATCGACCATTCAGTCAGTCGACCAAGCAAGAAGTCGACCATCCCATCGCTCGACCAAATAAGTGATCGAGCAACTCAGTCGACCTCAACAGGTCGATCACCTTACGGACTTGACGCTCTAACAGATCGGCCTAGTCACAGGCGTGTGAAAGATCCTCTAACGGAATTTTAGGAGAATATTCATACCATGTGCAGGAGGACACGTGTCGAGAGCACATTGGTGGACAACGACAACCACCTATGACAGCTTACCCCATGTGCAGGAGGACACGCGTCCAAAGAGTATTGGTGCAGACGATAGTGGTGACGACTACTCTGACACACGTGTATTGTGTGTACGGACGGGCAGTTAGGGCAGACAGCTCACCAAATCCGGGCAGCCCTAGGCCAGGTATCTCACCTCTATATAAAGGGGGTGAGCCTTTCTTCTTCAACACGATCATTCCATTACTTACTCTTGAGAATTGATTGAATATACACTGACTTAAGCTTTGGAGGCTCTTCACCAGAAAACCCCTCTGAGTGAGAGTTCTTTGTAGGTGCACGACGTTCAACCGACGAGAAGGAAGACGATTATTCAAGTTCCAGCCGGTCCGAAAGTTTTGTGTTACCATTTGGCGCCGTCTGTGGGGACTCTTGTTCAAAAAGTTGTGTTTGAAGCTCAGCTATGGTAGACGGAATTCCCAGAACCAATTTTCATTCGACGTTCGATGACGCTTGGACGACGACCAGGCCGATTGGGCAGGGCCCTCCTCCGGTTTTCTCTGGCCTTTCACAAATGCCCGTCAATCCTACGCCCGTCCTTCAAGGTGTGAGAGCATCGACGGCGGTGCCCGGAGGAGATGCGAGCTCTAGTCGTGCCCAGGAGGCTCGCGCAGCAGCTACGGCGGCGATGCCACCACCACCGCCCCAGAACCCGGTGGTGGCGCAACCAGGAAGAACGGTGGGACAAGGAGGAGCAACACCGCAAGCAATGGTGCCAGCCCTTGGCCAGCAGGTGGTGATGACCAGACAGGAGATGCAACAAATGGTGGCGGAGACAGCTGTGCAGGCAGTGCAACAAGTCACAAATAGTCTCTCTCGAGCTACCACGGTACCAACCACTGTTGCGGGGTCACGCCAAAATGCAGAAGAGGATGAATCCAGCTACGGCAGAGGTGGGCCCCCACAGGATCGAGAAATGAAGAGAATGGCTGAGCAAATGCGTCAATTGCAGGCCAAGGTGGATGGTCGAACGGAAAGATGCACTCGAGGACACCCGTTCTCGACGGACATACTAGCCGCGCCCTTGCCAGCCAGCTTCAAGGATACCAACTTGGTGTTCGATGGGACTTCTGACCCGTCGACGCATGTTTGGACGTTCGAAAATATTGCTGTGTTACATGGATATACTGACCCCGTTAGTTGCAGGGCATTCTTATCGACCTTGAGAGGAGGAGCCCTCGATTGGTTCCAACAGCTCCCTCCAGGCTCGATTGCAGACTTTGAGGATTTTGCGGAGAAGTTGACGAACCAATATTCGAGTACGGTGGCTCAGGAGAAGACGTACTTAACCCTGATGGCGATGAGGCAAGGCGAGAAGGAGTCACTGCGCAAATATGTAGCCCGATACAACCAGGCCTGCTTGGAAATCCCGTCGGCGGTCGATGAGGTCAAGGCGAGAGGGTTGATTAGAAGTTTACGAGCGGGGCCATGTCGGACGTCTCTGGCCAAGACCCCGACTCGTACTTATGATGAGGTGTTGAAAAGGTGCAGGAAATATATTAACCTCGAGGAGACCGAGGTGGAGTTTGCCAAACTCGAGGAGTTAGGTCGTGTGGAGCCAAAGAAGGAGAAGGCAGTTTCGCCCAAAAGGAGAGCTTCGCCCAGGAGGGAGGGGCGAGCTAAGCAGGATCGAGGATGCAAAGACAGATGGAAGGATCGGCCTATCTATGGAGGAAAGAGATTCCATGATTATACCCCGTTAAATGCGAAGGTGGCCGAAGTCTTGATGGCCATGGAGAAGGGGATAGATGGGAAAGATGTGACGTGGCCAAGGTCGAGGTTCGAGGGGCCAACTCAGCCTAAGTCGAGGAGATATTGCCGCTTCCACAAAGACTATGGCCATACCATCGAGGATTGTCGACACCTCAAAGACGAAATCGAGCGCCTTATCCGAGCAGGGCATCTCAAGGAGTTCGTTTATCAGGATAGGGTGAGGGGGAAGGAAAAGAGAAGGTGCCGGGAAGAATCGGTGAAGAGAAGTGATCGCGATGAAGATGATGAGGAAGATCCTCGAGGAGGTCGAGATGGTTGAAAGAGAGATGAGGGGAAGAGGAGGCGAGGAAGTAGAGATCGAGAGAGACAAGGAGAGGAAGGCCAGGTAAAGAGAGGCACGATATATATGATCTCAGGTGGACCGACATACGAAGACTCGAATAATGCTAGGAGAGGGCATGTTCGAGCGATGAAGAAGAAAAGGGAGGAAGTGGGAATCACGCCCGAGTACCAGAGATTAGTTTATGGGCGGAGGATGCAGCAGGGGTGGTGATACCTCATAATGATGCCTTGGTGATTACGGCAGAAGTTGCAGGTTTCGATGTAAAAAGGGTGTTTATAGAAATAGAAAGTTCGGTCGATGTCATGTTCTATGATTGTTTCGTGCAAATCAATCGGGAGTTGAATGTGGAATTGAAGTCGGTGGCTACGGCTCTATACGGTTTTAGTGGCGGAGAAGTTATGCCAATGGGAGAAGTAAGTCTATCTGTAGCTCTGGGAAAAGGAGTGACCCGGAAGGTCCGGATGGTAAGATTTGTGGTCGTCGGAGCTGAATCATCTTACAACATCATAGTGGGGAGAACGAGCTTGAATGCATTCTAGGCGATTGTATCCACGTACCACATGACTATCAAGTATCATGTGGGCGAAAACATTGGCGAGATCACTGGGGATCAACTTACCTCGAGAAGCTGCTACCAGACCACTGTGAGCAATAACAAACAGCTAGCGAGAAGGCAGACGCGGCTGAAAGAGGAAGCAGTTAGTCGACCAGGTGGGTCGAGATCAAAGGAGGATGGGCAGAGGTTGGAGAAGGGTAAGGAGAAGGTAGATATCCATCCAAGAGGGGAAGTCGAGGAGATCCAGATGGTCGAGGGATATGAAGAGAGAAAGTTTCGAATCGGGAAGGAATTGGAGGAGCCAGTGAGATCGAGACTGATTAGTATGATAAGGGAATTTGCAGATGTGTTCGCATAGTCGACGGAAGAGCTGACTGGTATCAAAGCTGAAGTTATTGAGCATCGACTAAATATCGACCTCACTGTGAGGCCGGTGAAGCAAAAGAGGAGGCATCACAGGGCAGGAATGGATAAAGTGATTGAACTGGAGGTAGAAAAGCTTATGCTAGCGGGCTAAATAAAGAAGATCCAATTCCCAGAGTGGCTGTCGAACACGGTGATGGTTTCAAAGTCAGAAGGGAAGTGGCGGTTGTGTATAGACTTTCGGGATTTGAATAAGGCATGCCCAAAAGAGTTATACCCACTACCCAGGATCGACCAGTTGGTCGATTCCACGGCCGGATGTGAGTTACTCAGCTTGATGGACGCGTCGCAGGGTTACCACTTAATCCCGCTGGCGCGAGAAGATTAGAAAAGAGTCAGTTTTGTGACACCGAGGAACCTATTGCTATGTGGTAATGCCATTCGGTCTGAAAAATGCGGGAGCGACATATCAGAGATTGGTGGATAGAATTTTTAAGGAGCAGCTGAGGAGGAACATGGAAGTGTATGTGGACGATATGTTGGTGAAAATCAAAGAGGAGATTGATCACGTGAATGACCTAAAGGAAACATTCATGACCCTTCGGAAATACGGAATGAAGCTGAACCCCGCTAAGTGCTCATTTGGGGTCAAGTCTGGGAAGTTTCTGGGTTACATGGTGACAAAGAGGAAAATCGAGGTCAACCTGGAGAAAGTAAGGGCGGTGGTCGAGATGTAACCCCCCACGAAGGTAAAGGAGGTACAGATCCTAACTGGTCGAATAGCGGGCCTGAGCCGCTTTGTCTCGAAGGTGGCCGAGAAGAGTGGGCCCTTGTTCAAAAAACTTAGGAAAAGTTCAAAGTTCCAGTGGACAGAAGAAGCCCAAAAATCGTTTGAGGAGTTGCAGAGGGTGCTAGTCGACTTGCCGTTGTTAGCAAAACCGATATAGGGGGAGGACTTGGTGTTGTATGTGTCCATTGGCGACACAACAGTGAGTTCGGTGTTGCTACGGGAGGAAGAGATAGCCCATTTTCTGATCTATTACGTAAGTAAGGTGATGCAAGGTGCAGAGAGGAGGTATTCGGAGTTGAAAAGGGTGCTTTGGCGGTGGTTGTCACTGTAAAAAAATTGAGGCCATATTTCTTGGGTCACAGGGTGAGAGTTCTGACAAATATGCCATTGGGAGAAACACTGGGCCGACCCTATGTATCAGGTTGACTGGTCAAGTGGGCGGTCGAGTTGAGTGAATACATGATTGTTTATGAGCCAAGAAGGGCGATTAAGGCCCAGGCGCTGGCCGACTTTATACACAAAGGGACGAAAGAAGAAGAGAAGTCCGAAGGAGTTTGGCAGGTGTTCGTGGACGGGTCGGTGTCAAGGGCTGGAGGCGGCCTAGGAATCGTGATCATATCGCCAAGAGGGGACAACCTTGAGTTCGCAATAAAGGTGGCATATCGAGTGTCAAATAACGAGGCAGAGTATGAGGCAGTCATTAAGGGGCTTGAGTTGGCCCTAGCCGGAGGAGCTCGAAAAGTACATATACATTCAGACTCCCAATTGGTGGTGGGCCAGTTCCAAGAAGGGTTCGAGGTCAAGGAGGACAAGATGATGAAGTATGTAGAAGGGATGAAGAAGCTGCAGAAAGAATTTGATTCTCTTGAATTGATCCAGATACCTTGAGGAGAAAACGGTCGAGCGGACTTATTGTCAAAAATCGCGTAGAGCCTGGTCGACTGAAAGAACAGAAGTATAACCCTGTTGCATATGGAGAAAAGTGCAGTCGAGAAAAAAGTGGCTGAGATAGAAGAGGTCGAGGATTGGAGAGCCCCGATAATAAAAAAATTGAAGGATGGAGAGGTTAGGGTGATAAGGAGGTTATTTGAGCACGGAGGGATTTTATACAAAAGATCACACGCTGGCCCGCATTTGCGATGCGTGACTAGAGAAGAAGGGCGATATGCGCTGAGGGAAATCCACGAGGGGTGCTGCAGTGACCACAACAAGGCAGGCTCCCTGGTGGCGAAAGTTCTGAGGGCAGGATATTTCTGGCCGACGATGAGAGAATATGCAAAAGCGATGGTGCGAAGGTGTATGCAATGCCAGAAGCATGGACCGCTCATTCATCAACCGACCGAAGCAATGACGACGATGAGTGCTCCCATTCTATTCGCCCAATGGGGTATCGACTTGGTCGGGCCCATGCCTCAAGGAACCGGACAAAGGAAATTTTTGATTGTTGCGGTTGATTACTTTACGAAGTGGGTGGAGGCCGAACCTTTGGCAAAGATTACGGAGGAAAAAGTGATACATTTTCTATATAACAACATATACTGCAGGTTCGGAGTTCCTAAGGTATTGATGTCGGACAATGGGACCCAATTCAATGGCAAGCGGATTCGGGCATGGTGTGAGGACATGAAAATCGAGCAACACTTCGCCTCAGTCGCACATCCGCAAGCCAACGGGCAGGTCGAGGTGACCAACAGGATCATACTAAACGGTCTCAAAACAAGGTTGGAGAAGGCATTGGGGGCGTGGGTGGATGAGCTTACATCGATGTTATGGGCATATAGAATAACGCCCCGATCGACCACTGGAGAAACACCGTTCAGTATGGTTTATGGAATGGAAGCTTTGTTGCCGGTGGAAGTCAAAGTTCAATCCCTGAGGTCGAGCACATATGATCGAGAACAGAATGAACATTTGATGATGGCAGCTCTCAACAGAATCGAAGAGCTTCGAGAAAAGGCCTCAATCAGAGTCGAGGCATACAAGCAGAGGATGCGAGCAGTGCATGATAGGAAGGTGAAGGTACGAAGATTCCAGGTGGGCGACCTGGTATGGAAAAGAGTCGATGTGTTGAAGCATGTCGGAAAACTAGAGCCGAAATGGGAAGGACCATACCTTGTCGAAAAGGTCCATGCTGGAGGAGCATACTCTTTAAAGGATGCGGAAGGAAGATCTCTAGCCAGGTCATGGAATGTGGCTAACCTGAAAAAATATATTATGCTTAAAATTTTTCTTTTTATTTATAGAGAAACTCGCTGGAACTAATGTAATGAACTCCTTTACTCGATAATCAATGAAATGGAGTATTGGAATTTCTACAATTTACTGCGTACCGAATTATTTTATACAGTTGGAATTCCTGGATTAACCCTGATGATCATGATTAAGGCCGAGAGGCTGGATGGTCGCATGTAACGAACACTCCTTCGAGGGTGGGCATGTGTTGGAAAGCAAAAAATCCATCATGATTAAGGCCGAGAGGCTGGATGGTCGCATGTAACGACCACTCCTTCGAGGGTGGGCATGTGTTCAAAATTAAAAACCCATCATGATTAAGGGAGAGAGGCTGGATGGTCGCATGTAACGACCACTCCTTCGAGGGTGGGCATGTGTTCAAAATTAAAAACCCATCATGATTAAGGTCGAGAGGCTGGATGGTCTCATGTAACGACCACTCCTTCGAGGGTGGGCATGTGTTCAAAATTAAAAACCCATCATGATTAAGACCGAGAGGCTGGATGGTCGCATGTAACGACCACTCCTTCGAGGGTGGGCATGTGTTAAAAATTAAAAACCCATCATGATTAAGGCCGAGAGGCTGGATGGTCGCATGTAACCACTCCTTCGAGGGTGGGCATGTGTTCAAAATTAAAAACCCATCATCCGAGAGGCTGGATGGTCGTATGTAACGACCACTCCTTCGAGGGTGGGCATGTGTTCAAAATTATAAACCCATCATGATTAAGGCCGAGAGGCTGGATGGTCACATGTAACGACCACTACTTCGAGGGTGGGCATGTGTTCAAAATTAAAAACCCATCATGTTCAAGGCCGAGAGGCTGGATGGTCGCATGTAATGACCACTCCTTCGAGGGTGGGCATGTGTTCAAAAAATTAAAAAACCAGCATGTTCAAGGCCATGAGGTTGGATGG